AGTCGAATTATTTTTTCCCGGTCGAAATTCTTCTCGGTCGAAAAAACTCCTCATTCGAACTCGGTAGAAACATTTTTCCTTGTTCGAACACAGTCGAACTGTTTTTTCTTGATCGAAAAACTCCTCGGTCGAACTCGGTCGAAAAGTTTTTCCTTGGTCGAACACAGCCGAAATGTTTTTTTTTCGGTCGAAATTCTTCTCGGTCAAAAAAACTCATCGTTCGAATTCGGTCGAAACATTTTTCCTAGGTCGAACACAGTCAAACTGTTTTTTTTTTCAGTCGAAAAACACTTCGGTCGAACTCGGTCGAAACATTTTTCCTCGGTCGAACTTGGTCAAAATGTTTTTCCTCGTCAAAACATAGTCGATACATAGACAGCTTGGGTCGAGTCGGTCGAAACACAGACAGCTTGGGTCGAGTCGGTACATATCGAGCCTACATATCGAACATATCGAGCCTGGATCGGGACGGTCGATACATACTATTTATTGGTCGAGTCAGTCGAAACAGAAATCGCAAACCTCGACACGGCGAGGTAGCATTCTTAGTGCTCTTTGGGCAATTGAACAGTTTTTGGTATAAAAGCGACTAATTTTTCACTTTGGTACAAACAAGACAATTTTTTAATAACTTTTTTAAAAACCCACCAACCAATGTATTACAAATGACGCAAATTTGATTGACAAAAAAATCTCACGATTAATCAGCAGACTATCAACTTCAAAAAAAAAATCTTTTTAAGCAACGAGAGGCTAAGTTTTTCTTACCAAACGGAACTTTTACCAGAGTGATTTTTTACCAGAACACTACGCAAAAAAAATATGGGACCGGCCTATTTGCATTCGTGCCGCAGGTATGCGGCAATTAGATCAGCTAGAATTCAAACTCAATTAAACTGATTTGACCGCTTAGCACAAACATAAAAATTTCACCCAATCAAATTACAGCGAAAAAGAAAAGCAATTTTAAAAATGAACGGAAAAATAAAGACCGTTTCAAATTAACTCAATTCAGGCAAAATTCGAATTGCAAAATTTTTAAACATTATTCATGTTATGAGCCAAAACACAAGTGCAGTAAAACAACCAATGTTGAAAAACCAGGCAAAATACAGCACATAACTAGATCCAAATTTCGAAATTATGGCGGAAAAAAGTTTTCGGCAGCAATTAGTTGC